ACAGCATCGTCATCGTCATCGTCATCCTCATCAGCAGCATCATCAGCAAGATTCTTATCATCATCATCATCATCATTATTATCATCATCATCATCATCATTATCGTCATCAGCATCAGCATCAGCATCAGTATCATCATGATAGTCATCATAACCATCAGAGTATTCATCATATTCAGACTCATCATCAGCACCATCATCACCATCACCACGATTACCATCTCCACGGCCACTATGACCATGACCATCACCATCATCATTGTGTTAGACGTCACCACCACCGCCAACATCACCAACACCACCATCACCATCACCATCACCATTACCATCACCACCACCACTACAATCATTGTCACCACTCTCACCACAACATCACCATCACCACGATCGTCAAAAAATTATCATCGCCATCATCGCCGTCATCATCACCATCATGATCATTCGCGTCAGCAGCAGCAGCATCACCATCACCATCATCACCATGATCAGAATCCCCATCCTTCATCGTCATCCTCCTCCTCGACTCATCGTCATCCTCAGCATCCTTCTCCTCCCCCTCCTGCTCCTCCTCCTCCTCCTCATCATCATCCTTCCTCCTCCTTCTTTTCCTCCTCCGCCTGGTCATCCTCCTGCTACTCCTGCTCCCCCTCCTCCTCCTGTTCCTCCTTCTCTTCCTCTTCCTCTTCCTCTTCCTCATCCTCATCCTCATCCTCGTCCTCATCCTCATCCTCATCATCACCATCATCATGATCATCATGATCAGCATGATCAGCATGATGATCATCATCATCCTCAGAAGCAACAGCATCATCATCATCAGCAGCATCAGACTCATCATCATCAGCAGCAGCATCAGCATCAGCATTGGCATCACCACGATCATCATCACCACGATCAGCATCGTCACCATCACCATCACCATCACCATCATCATCACCATCATCGTCATCGTCATCATCAGCATCATGATGATGATGTTCATCAGCATCACCATCACCATCATCATCATCATAATCATCATCATCCTCATCATCATCCACAGCATCATCATCGCCATCGTCGTCATGATTATCAGTATCGTCAACATCCTCGTCGTCATCATTATCATCACCATCGTCGTCATCATCGTCAGCAGCATCACCATCATCAGTATACTCATCATCAGCATCCACATTACAAGCATCATCATCATCATCAGCATCATCATCAGCAGCAGCATCATATCATCACCACCATCATCATCAGCATCGAAACCAGCATCATCATCAGCAGCAGCATCATCATCATCATCATCATCATCATCATCATCATCATCATCATCATCATCATCATCATCATCATCATCTCATCATCACCATCATCGTCGTCCTCAACATCAGCAGCAGCAGTAGCAATATCAGCATCAACAGAAGCAGCATCAGCAACAGCAGCATCAGCATCAGCATCGGCAGCATTATCATCACCATCATCCCTTTTCTCCTCCTCCTCCCCCTCCTCCTCGTCCCTCCTCCTCCTCCTCCTCCTCCTCCTCCTCTTCCTCCTCTTCCTCCTCCTCCTGCTCCTCCTCCTCTTCCTCCTCCTCCTCCTGCTCCTCCTTCTCCCTGATCCGTTTCCTCCTGGGGGTGGGCGGACCTTCCCACGAAGTCCCACCAGGCGGGCCAGCTCCACCGCTGGTGCTGCCAGCCCCACCTGGCAGTCGCCATGCCCACCCTGCTCCCGAAGGAAGAAAGAGAAGGCACGGAGGAGGAGGAGGAGGAGGAGGAGGAGGAGGAGGAGGAGAAGACAGGGAGGAGGAGGAGGAGGAGGAGGAGGAGGAGGAGGAGGAGGAGGAAGAGTAGAAGGCAGGGATGAGGAGGAGGAGGAGGAGGAGGAGGAGGAGGAGGGACAGGACAGGACATCCGCATGAGGGGGTCAACGTCGAAAAACCCGCAAAGTAACTGTGGGGTATGACTGGCAAACTCCCCTGCGAGTATAGTATGCCGCAGACCCAGACTTCTCATGGGGCCGGCAGGGGGCGTGCCCCAATGCGCTAAGGGGCGAGCTCCGAGGAGGCCCCGTAAGAGAGGCTCGCTACCTTGTGAGTAGGAGAAGGAGGAGGAGGAGGAGGAGGACTGTGGAGGAGTGTGGAGAAGTGTGCGGACGAGGGGGATGAGGAACAGGACGAGGAGGCGAGGCGAGGCGAGACGGGGCGAGAGCGCCGAGATCCGCAGCCGCACTGACGCGGGGCCGCGCGCCTTGGAGGCGCCGGCGGCGGGGCCGCAGCCCCTCAGGCGATTCAGAAGCCAGGGGAGGGCCGGCAGACACGTGGCTGCTAGAGCGGAGCTCCGGGAATGTGTTCCTTCCTTCCGGAAAGCAGCCCGCTTACTATCTAGCGCGCTGAGTTGTATGCCGGGAGTCTGTCTTTTTCTTCTGGGGAAGACCGTTTTAGCAGCCACGGATTTGCCAGCCCTCGCCCAGCTTCCGAGTGATGGCGAGGACGTTCCGGAATCAGTTCGGTTACCATCCCTAGAAGAAGAGAGAGCCACAGAAACCAACTTTTGGCGCTCCGCGCGGATTTCTTGGATTCGCGCTGGGATCCCCCTCCTTGGCGCGCGGAGCGCGCCATGGGCGGCGCTGGAGGCGCCGCAGGGGGGGGCCCAGGCGCGGATCCAAGAAATCCGCGCTAAGCGCCAAAAAGATTATTTTTCTGGGCGGAAAAAGATAGAATGCGCTAGATCGTCGCAGTCCCCTGCTCCCAATATGTCAACACAAGCTGCGAACATCCTTCCTAAAGAAATGCGCCTTGACTGCCAGGACGGATGCTGACACCCTGATTCGTTTCGAATCTCGAAACCCTGGCTCCCACGGATCCTACGCGAGACGACGCCGCAGCCCGGCGCCAGCCCGCCAGCGCGGCACGCTGCATCTGGCCATCGCTCGGACGTCCATTCCCTGTGTTTTTGTTCGGTTTCGTGCGTGGCTTTTTCGCCAAATCATCAAGGATGCTCCTCGATGGCCCTCGCCGAAGGAAAAACGCACACGTCCGAGCGATGCCAAAGCACTGGACGCGCGAGGGTGCCCACGCGCGGCCTCCCGCGGGCAGAGCCTGCGCGCCGGCGTCGGCGAGGACGACCCCGCTGTCTGGCGCCGATCGCGTGGGCACGGCGGCGCTCCCGGAGGCCTCCCACGCGGGGTCCGGGCAGGTCTTTTGTGGATGCCATGACAGTGGACACTCTGGCGGTCCTGTCATTGAACTAAAGATGTGTTCAAAATGTGTAAAGCATGTTCTGAAAACGTTTCGAACATGCTTTGACATATTCAGAACATGCTTAAAACATGCTTTAGACGTCTGGAAATTGTTTCGCAGCATGCAGGCAAGTCGGGTCGCGGGATCCTGCCGCACCGCCGATGCGCCGCCTCGGACCCCACGTGGGCGGCCTGGGTCGCCCAAGAGGGCCCGCCTCAAGAGGCGCCCGAGGCGGCCTGGCTGGCGCGGCCCGGACGGCGTGCGGCCACGGCGGCGTCCCAGACTATTCTTGTTCCTAGTTTGGGATATTCGTCCTGTAGGGAGACAGGCCCGCCTTAATGGCAGATGCATCGGCGCAGTCCGCAGTCGGCGTGGGCAAAATCGAGCCGCATTCGCCGACGCACTGGCGATGCAGCGATATCCTCCCTCCGACCCCATCTGCTAACAGGGGCAGGCTTGTGTGGGGACAACTTGCGCTCTGGCTCCCGACACCGCGGGGATCGTTCAACCTTGAATATCGTTTAGATCCCCATCCCAAGCGGCGTGGCACGGGCCCCACTGGCCGAGTTACCCCTCCCAGATGGGGATATAGGCCGTTCCCTTCGGGTTTCGAGGGGTGTATCCCCAAGTGGGGTGGTAATTTGGTGGAGGCCTCGACGGGGATGGGGATGGGGATGGGGATCGGTTAAAAGATACCGAAACCTTGAATGATCGCGGCTCTCCGAAAGCGCAGAGCTTTCGGTGCTGGACGAACGACTGCTGGTGGCTTTTCCACCTCGCACGCCCGCAGAGCGGTCGTCGCCGACTCTCGGGTTCGGGCGAAAGGGGGAGATAGCAAAGCGGGGGTTTGAGAATCAGCTCACGTAGCTGATTTTCCCGGCGCCTCCCGGCGCCGGGAGGCGCCCATGTATCGAGGAATGGGCCCCTCGGTGGAGCCGAAACCAGCTGCGTGCAGCAGATTTCGTAACCCCCCCTTTCCCTATCCCTCCCTTTCGTCCGGCCCGAGACTCGACGCGGCACGGACCTACCGCGCACCCCCGTGTGGGAGGCCTGGATCGCCCAAGGGCCCCCCCCCCCCCCCCACGCCAGGAGGCGCCCGAGGCGGCCCCCACGAGGCGGTCAGAACGGTGGACCTGCGGCCACGGCGGCGCCCGCCAGAGTGCGGCCAGAAGAGTGGAGGAGAGGCTGGGGGAGAGGAGAGGAGAGACTCCTCCTTCCCCTTCCCCCTCCTCCTCCTCCTCCTCCTCCTCCTCCTCCCTCCTCCTCCTCCTCCTCCTGCTGCTGCTGCTGCTGCTGCTGCTGCTGCTGCTGCTGCTGCTGCTCCTGCTCCTGCTTCGTCCTCCTCCTCCTCCTCCTCCTTCTCCTCCTCCTCCTCCTCCTCCCTCCTCCTCCTCCTCCTCCTCCTCCTCCTCCCCCTCCTCCTCCTCCTCCTCTCCATCACCTCCTCCTCCTCCTCCTCCTCCTCCTCCTCCTCCATCTCTTGTCCTTATCCGCCACCGTGCCTCTGGCACGACGTGGAGTGCCCCAAGGCTCACAATTGTGCTGCCTCGGCCATAAGTACCATCATTTCTTAAGGGCACGGACCCTCAATTTCCCACACGCTCCCGGGCCGGCCCAGTGTGACCCGCGTGAGCTCTGAGGTGTTTCCTGCGCCTCCTGGCGACTCAGTGCCCCCCCCAAAGCAAGGTTCCCATGGGTCCAGGAGGGCTTCGAGTGGCCGAAGCAGCACTCTAAGACGTCCAAGATAGCCTGCAGAAACAACCACCTCCCCTCGGAGAATGGCGAGCGGAGACGCTGGAAACGCAGAGGGTCAGCCCAAAATCGGCCCCCAGGCCCAGACCCCCGACGTCGTGTTTTTTTCGCAGCGCCGACCCCCAGAGGTCTGGACCCCTTCCCCGGGACCGGCTTTGTGCGCGTTTTCTTTATTCGGCGTTTCGACATTGGGCGGAAAAGGAGGGGAGGGCGGGGGGGGGTCTGGCTCCAGACTTCTGCTTAGTGCGACTGTTTGCAGCAAGGGGTCCTATGAGGGGAGACTCCACCTGCTCGAAACAGGCACCAAAAACAGCTAACATCTACTCCAGGAGGGGGGGGAGGGTGGAGGGGTGCGAGGGCCCACGCCGATCGGCAAAACAATGAATAAGAAAACGACGACTTTTCATCCTAGGCCGTTTGTGGACGGCCCCGAGGCCGGGCGAGGGCCCCCGGAGGAGGCCGAAATTAACGACAAGACCTCCCGCTGCGACCGTGCCACAACGCGCAAGGGGGTCTAGTTGGTGGCCCCTCCCGGGGGCCCAACACGCACCAAGTGTCCGAGCTGCGTCCAGCCGTGGCGACGAAGGGCCCCCCCCCGCAGGCCAGCTGCCATTGTCAAGCGGCCCTCCGTCGAGTCGCGCCCTTGCGCCTCCACCCTTCGGCGGCGAGCGCGGGAGGGGACGCGAGAAGGCCCAGAGGCTGTCAAAACGCCCCAAGGAATCTCCAAGAGCACTCCCCACAGGGCCCCCCAAAGCAGAAACAGGGCCTCCCAAAACAAAATCAATCGATGGTCCGTACGTCTCTGAAAGAGGTTCACGCGTCCGCTGTTTCAAGTTCCCGACGCTCCAAGACGGCCCAAGAGGCTCCCAGATCGTCCCAAGACGGCCCAACGGATCCCCCAGAGGGTCCAGAGACGATCGAAGACGCCCCCAAAACGGCCCCAGAGATCTCCAAGACAGCTCAAGAAAGCGCCAAGAACGCCCAAAGAAGAGCCCCAGAAGGGGAACGCGAACAGACACTGCGAGTTCTCCGCCCTACAAGGCCCCCCAGAAGACTCCAAGAGGCCTCGAAGGGGCCGCCAAGAGGCCCCAAGAAGCCCCCACGAGGCTCCCAGGCGGGCTCCAAAGAGACCCCAGGAGGCCCCCCAAAAAGCGCCGCATGATGCGTCAGAACTGCCCCCCAGACCTCCGAGATTCCCTCAGACGCCGCGTCGCCGCCCGTCTCCTTCCAGCCGCATCTCCCGCCTGATCGCAGACCTCTACGCCGCAGCGCAGGCACTCGCAGGGGTGCCTGGCGTGCCGAACGATATCGCTTTTGGTTTTGGTTCTTTTTCACAAAAGAACTCCCCCTGGAGCTTCGTCACGTCCCGCCAGCCACCCGGAAGAGGTGGTTGCAAACGGTTTTCCTGCCCCAGACGGCCCCAAGATGACCTCCAAGACGACCAAGACGCCTCCAAGACGGCCATGATGGCCTCCAAGACGGCTCAGAGGGCCCCAAGATGCCTCCAAGACGGCCCAAGATGTACCCAAGACGGCCTAAGATAGCCTGACGACGGCCCAAGACGGCCCACGAGGCCCCCAAGAGGCCTCCAAGACGGCCCAAGAGGCCTCGAAGAGGTCCTCCGGGAAGGCCCGAAGAGGCAAAATCATTGATTTTCCTTTGGCTTTTGAAGGATTTTGGCATTTGCGCTTTTTCAGCTTTCCAACGGCCCCAGACGGCCCAAGAGACCCCCAAGATCGCCCAAGAGGCCTCCAAGATGGCTCCGTGACGGCCCAAGAGGCCCCCAAGACGGCCCCAAGAGGGCCCCAAGACGGCCCAAGACGCCTCCAAGACGCCAAAGATGGCCTCCAAGACGCCCAAGATGGCCTCCAAGACGGCCCCGAAGCGCCCCAAGAGGGCCCCAAGTCGGCCCAGAAAGGCTCCCAAGACGGCTCCCGACGGCGTCAGACGGGCCAGGAGACCACCAAGATGGCCGAAGTTGGCTCGAAGCTGGCCCAAGACGGCCCAAAGAGGCCCCCAAGAGGGCCTCCAGGAAGGCCAGAAAAGGCCAAAAAACATTGATTATCCTAAGGTTTTGTTTTACGGATTTTGACATTTGCTTCTTTTCGGCCTTCCGACGGCCCGACACGGCCCAAGAGCCCCCAAAGATCGCCGAAAGATCGCCCAAGAGGCCTCCAAGATGGCCCCAGAACGGCCCAAGAGGGCCCCAAGACGGCCCCAAGGGGCCCCCAAGACGGCACAGGAGGCCTTTTAGAAGCCCAAGGTGGCCTCCAAGACGGTCGTGGAGCATTCCAAGAGGGCCCCAAGTCGACCCATAGAGGCCCCCCAAACGGCTTCCGACGGCGTCAGACGGACCAGGAGCCCACCAAGACGGCCGAACATAGCCCTACTATGGGCCAAGAGGCCTCCAAGAGGGCCTCCAGGAAGGCCCGAAAAGGCCAAAGTCATTGATGTCCCATGGGCTTTTGAAGGATTGTGTCATTTGCCTTGTTTCTGCCTTCCGACGGCCCGAGACGGCCCAAGTGCCCCCCAAAGATCGCTCAAGAGGCCCAAGGCACGGCCCCAGGAGGCCCCCAAGACGGCCCAAGAGGCCTCCAAGAGGCTCAAGATGGCCTCCAAGACGGCCCAAGAGCCCTCCAAGACGTTCTCCAAGAAAGCCCGAAAGGGTCAAAGTGGCCTCCAGACGGCCAGGATGACCTTCAAGATGCCCACGTGTTCCCCGAAGGCTTTCCAAAACGATTCGGGGAACACATGGTCCGATAGCTTTGTTTTACTAGTAGCAGTGCGGACGCATGGTAAAGAGTGACAGTAAGGAAGACTGTGAAAACCAAAACACGCAGCACCTGTTGCTGCGAAAATTGTGCAAGCAGCAAGGACGGATGAATGCGACAAGTGAGGCTGGCACTCTCCTCCACCCCCCCTGCAATCGTCTCAGTCCCCCTCCCCCACCTCGTCCTCCACCTGAGAAATGGATCATGGAAATGGCGTTGCCCCAACCGCCGCCGCACATCAGAAATCAGGGCCTCGAGCGAGCGCAAGAAGGCTCCTAGGGGAGCCCCAGGATGCAAAGCAGCTTGCAGCCCTGCATCTGTCCTCATATCTTTGTCTGGCACTCTGGCACCTGCAAAGCAGCTGCAGCCCTGCTACGTTATAAAGACTTTGCGCAACATATGATATTGAGGTATCCGTGCGCTTTCCAAATTCAACTGAGCGTCGCGCGCTGCGAACGAAATGAAGGAGAAGAACTGCTGCAACCGCATGTTTTGAAACATCGCTTCAGAGCACGGAAACTGGCTCTGCACGGTCACAGTTCTGTATGTCGCAAGCTAAACACACAGAAGCTGCTGCTGCTGCCAAAGCTGTGCAATCAGTAAGCACAAATGCATGCGACAAGTGAGGCTGGCGCTCTCCTCCTCCTCCTCCTCCTCCTCCTCCTCCTCCTCCTCATCATCATCATCCTCCTCCTCCCCCCCATGTCTCCATTCCACCCCTCGGCATCACCCGCACCACCCGCGAGTAAAAACATCCCCTCTGCACATGGTTCGCCTTGCTCGCGCCACCCTGCTGGGCGCTGGGCTGCTTGCTCGCGGGGCAGCGTCGTGGCGGCGATGGCTTGGCGCCGCCAGCTGAATGGCATCCTCCGCGTTCCTCCCCTCCTCCCCCTCCTCAGTCCCCCACACGGGCCCCACACGTCCCCCCTTCCCCTCGTCCAGTAAAACTGTCAACCGCGCGCTCACAGGGCAGCTGGCCTCTGGGCGATGAAGGGGTGGAGCTTGGGGTTCTTGATGCGGCGCAGCCGGCTCGCCGTCCACATCCTGACGTTCTCCGAGTATCCCTGCCTCGCCGCCGAGCTGACCTCGATCACGGTCCCGGTGACTCCAGCGCCGGCATCTCTGGTCAGCCGCGATTTGTTCCACAGGATGGAGAATTCGCGGGCGTCGTTCGAGGTGGCAAAATTTACGAACGCGATCCCCCTGGTGGTCCCCGTTTCGAAAGTCGTCGGCATGTAGACGTAGTCGTAGCGGCTCGCGAAACCAGACTTGTCGAAGAGGTCCATCAGGTCAGCTTGCGTCATGGCCATGGGGATGTTCTGAATCACGAGCGTGGTGATTCTTGAAACGCCAGGGGCGGCGGGCGCTACCTCCTCGGTAGCTACTGGCATGCTGTCAACGAGCTCGCCCTGTTGAAACTCAAGCTCCTCCAAGAAGGCCGTCTGCTCGCGGATATTCCGCCTGACCTCCTGAACCTCCTGTTGGACCTTGGCCAGCAGCTGCTTCTGCGCCAGGAGCTGGGCCCGCATGCTTGCCAGCCCCCTGCCGGCCGCGGGCGTGCCACCCCACTGTCTCGCCCGCGCTGCGCGGTCTGGCTCGCCTCGGCGGCCTGCGGCGAGCCCCGCCTCAGTGGCAGAGAGCGGCGGCATGCCGGGCGGCCTGATCGACGACCAGGCTGGCGCCGCCCCCGCGGCGCGATGGATCAGCGGAGCGCCCCCGCGCGGGTGGTCGAACTCGTCAAGAGTCTTCCATGACTCGCCGCCGCTCGACTGCAGAATGGGGTGGTCTTCCTGCCTGCGCGGCAGCGGCTGGCCATGGAGCAGCAGAACGCCTGCAGGCTGAGATGACAACTGCGCATCGGCCGCCGGGGCGGCTGAATCCTGCGCGTGTTCGGATGGGTGGCTGCCTGTGGCTTCTGCCCGCCGACGCTCGCGCGGATGGTCGAACTCGTCAAGAGTCTTCCATGACTCGCCGCCGCTCGACTGCAGAATGGGGTGGTCGTACTGCCTGCGCGGCAGCGGCTGGCCATGGAGCAGCAGTACGCCTCCAGGCTGAGATGACAGCTGCACATCGGCCGCCGAGGGGGCGCTGCCAGGGCCCAACCAGGCTGAATCCTGCGTGTGTTCCGATGGGTGGTTGCCAGTGATTTCTGCCCGCCGACGCTCCCGCGGGAGGTCGAACTCGTCAAGAGTCTTCCATGACTCGCCACTGTTCGACTGCAAAATGGGGTGGTCTTCCAGCCAGAGCGGCAATGTCTGCGTGGTGACCGGCTGCATGGTGGGCAATGATCCGATGCTAGGCATCGACGTACACATGTCACCTAAGATTTGGTCCAACGAATGAGGGTTCACGTAGGTATCAAAAAAATCGTCACTGTGGATGGACTGAGTCGTGAATGCGTCCATTGTGTGAAACGGCAAATTGTCGGTGTGATCCAGTAGACCTAAGCGCAAGCACAATTAAAAATCAACCCGAAGGCGCTTGAGCCCCAACTTGAGCCAAAATGGCTATGGAACACATGGTCCGATAGCTTGGCAGGTCTGGCCTCAACGTTCGGCCACATAGGCGCTTCCAAAAAGGCAGGGGGCGGCGGTGAATCGCCGTTGGCGTATTCGATCCGCCGCCCCCTGTCGATTCATCGAAATGGTGCCTGGCGCGCTAAATTATTTTGGTTTTGGTTATGTTTCCCAAAGAACTCCCCCTGTGGCTTCGGCCCGTCCCGCCGTGGTCCCGGGAAGATTGCCCAGGACCGGAAACGACCTCAACGTCCGCAAAAAATTCTCCAAGACGGCTCAAGATGGCCTCCAAGATGGCCACGTTGGCCCAAGATGGCCTCCAAGATGGCCTCCAAGTCCGCCCAAGAGAGGAGGAGATGCCTCCAAGTCCGCCCAAGAAACCTCCAAGACGGCCCAAGAGGCCCCCAAGAGGCCTCCAAGACGGCCCAAGAGGCCTCCAAGAGGTCCTCCAGAAGGAGCCCGAATAGGCCAAAATCATTGATGTTCCTCCAATGTTTGAAGGACTTTGGCATTTGCTTCTTTCCGGCTTGCCGACGACCCAAGACGGCCCAAGAGGCCCCCAAGATCGCCCCCACAGCGCCCAAGTGGCCTCCAAGATGGCCTCAGGACTGCCCAAGAGGCCCCCAAGACGGCCCCAAGAGGGCACAAAGACGGCCCAAGAGGCCTCCAAGACGCCCAAGATGGCCTCTAAGACGGCCCTGGAGCACCCCAAGAGGGCCCCAAGTCGGCCCAGAGAGGCCCCCCAAACGGCTTCCGACGGCGTCAGACGGGCCAGGAGCCCACCAAGATGGCCGAAGTTGGCTCGAAGCTGGCCCAAGACGGCCCCAGAGGCCTCCAAGAGGGCCTCCAGGAAGGCCAGAAAAGGCCAAAAACATTGATTGTCCTTAGGATTTTGAAGGATTTTGACATTTCACGAAGGCCCGATACGGCCCAAGAGCCCCCAAAGATCGCCCAAGAGGCCTCCAAGATGGCCCCAGAACGGCCCAAGAGGGCCCCCAAGACGGCCCCAAGAGGCCCCCCAAGACGGCCCAGGAGGCTTGTAAGACGCCCAAGATGGCCTCCACGACGGCCCTGGAGCATTCCAAGAGGGCCCCAAGTCGGCCTAGAGGGCCCCCCCAAGCGGCTTCCGACAGCGTTGGACGGGCCAGGAGCCCACCAAAATGGCTGAAGATGGCCCGAAGATGGCCCAAGACGGCCCAAGAGGCTTCCATATGGCCTCCGGGAAGGGCCGAAAAGGACAAAATCATTGATTTCCCATGAGTTCTTGAAGGATTGTGGCATTTGCTTTTTTTCGGCCTTCCGACGGGCCAAGTGCTCCCCAAAGATCGCTCAAGAGGCCCAAGACACGGCCCCAGGAGGCCCCCAAGACGGCCCAAGAGGCCTCCAAGACGCTCAAGATGGCCTCCAAGACGGCCCAAGAGCCCTCCAAGACGTTCTCCAAGAAGGCCCGAAAGGGTCAAAATGGCCTCCAGACGGACAAGGTGACTTTCAAGATGCCCACGTGTTCCCCGAAGGCTTTCCAAACCGATTCAGGGAACACATGGTCTGATAGCTTGGCAGGTCTGGCCTCAACGTTCGGCCACACAGGCGCTTCCAAAAAGGCAGGGGGCGACGGTGATTCGCCGTTGGCGTCATTAGATCCGCCGCCCCCTGTCGATTCATCGCAGGGATGCCTGGCGTGCTGAAGCCTCTCGGTTTGGGTTTTGATTCTTTTTCCAACAAAAACTCCCCCTGGGGCTTCGGCCCGTCCCGCCGGGGTCCCGGAAGGATTGCCCAGGATCTTCCAGAGCCGGTTGCAGAGGGTTTTCTTGCCCCAGACAGCTCCAAGATGGCCCCCAAGACGGCTAAGATGGCCCCAAGATACCTCCAAGACGGCCCAAGATGCACCCAAGACGGCCTCAGATGGCCGCAAGATGGCCCAAGACGGCCGAAGAGGCCTCCAAGAGGCCTCCAAGACAGCCCAAGAGGCCTCCAAGAGGTCCTCCAGAAGGGGCCGAAGAGGCCAAAATCATTGATTTTCCTTCGGCTTTTGAAGGATTGTGGCGCTTGCTTCTTCTCGGCCTTCCGACGGCTCAAGACGGCCCAGGCCCCCACGATCGCCCCAAGATCGTCCACGAGGCCTCCAAGATGGCCCCATGGCGGCCCAAGAGGCCCCCAAGACGGCCCCAAGAGGGCCCAAGAACCCTCCAAGACGGCTAAGATGGCCCCAAGATGCCTCCAAGACGGCCCAAGATGCACCCAAGACGGCCTCGATGGCCTCTAGATGGCCCAAGACGGCCCAAGAGGCCCCCAAGAGGCCTCCAAGACGGCCTCCAAGGCGTCCAGGAGGTCTTCCAGGATGGCACGAAGAGGCCAAAATCATTGATTTTCCTTAGGGTTTCGAAAGACGTTGGCAGTTGCTTCTTCTCGGTATTCCGACGGCTCAAGACGGGGCAAGAGGCCCCCAAGATCGCCCAAGGGGCCTCCAAGATGGCCCCCATGACGGCCGAAATGCTCCCAAGACGGCTCCAAGAGGGCCCCAAAACGGCCCAAGAGGCTTCCAAAACGCCCAAGATGGCCCCTAAGAACTCCTGATATGCCCCAATAGGGACCCAAGACGACCCAGGCAGGCCCCCAAGACGGCTTCCGACGGCGTCACACAAGCCAGGAACGCCATTAAGACGGCCAAATAAGCCCCCAAGAAGCTCCCAAAGGCCCCCCAAAACCCTCCAAGAGGCCCCCAGGAAGCTCCCAGGAGGCCCCAAGAGTGCCCCAAGAGGCGCCCACGAGACCTCCTCCTCCTCCTCCTCCTCCTCCTCCTCCTCCTCCTCCTCCTCCTCCTCCTCTTTTTTCCTCATCCTCCCCCGCCTCCTCTTCTTGCTCCCCCATGCGTTCCCCGAGGTCTTTCCAAACCGACTCGGGAACAACTGGCCCGATAGCTTGGCCAAGCTCTGGCCCAGCTGTCGGCCACAGAGGCGCTTCCGAAGCGGCAGGGGGCGGCGGCGATTCGCCGTAGGCGTCTTCGATAAGTGACCAGCGGCAGCACTCCTTCTCTTCCCCGTCCTTCTCCCCCTCGCTCCTCCTCCTCCTCCTCCGCCTCCTCCTCCTCCTCCTCCCTCCTCCTCTTCCCCGTCCTCTTCCTCATCCCTCCTCCTCCTCCTCCTCCTCCTCCTCCTCCTCCTCCCTCGCTCCTCGCTCCTCCTCCTCCTCCTCCCTCGCTCCCTCGCTCCTACTCTCCCCCTCGCTCCTCCTCCTCCTCCTCCTCCTCCTCCTCCTCCTCCCTCCTCGCTCCTCCTCCTCCTCCTCATCCTCCTCCTCCTCCTCCTCCTCCTCCTGCTCCCGGGGTGCGCCGACCCGGGCCGAGCGGCCGACCCGCTGTCGCCCTTCGTCGGGAAGGCGAGCGCCACCGCCTCGGCAGGCCCGCGCCGCTCCCCGCCGCGGCGCCGCGGAGCCCCCGCCGCCGGTGCGGCAGGGGGCGGGCCGCAGGCCCCCGCCCTGCGAGGCGGGAAGTCATCCAGATCCACCGCCTGGGGACCGACGTCCCGGGAACCGACGTCCCGGTGCCCCTGCGGGCGGCGGATATGGATACGTTGCGGCCCACGGGGGTCCGAACGTGTCCACATCCGCCGCCTGCCGAGGCTTCGAAAACTCACCCTGCAGGCGGTGGTCATGTATCAATTCCCGCCTTGGAGGCAAGGGGCGGGCTGCGGGCCCAGCAGTCACTGCACCGACCTTGCAGAGGTGCTGCAACGGATTTTTGCGTGGATTCTGCCAGTGCACAGTCCCGAAACGGCGAGCGAGAAGCGAAGTGAATTTCGCGCGGGTCTTTTGTTAGTCTGCATTCCTGGCAAAAAAAACGCACGAAATTCACCTTGAAATCCGGAACGAAATTCTCCAGCACGATCTGGGCCCACCCTATCGTTTTCCGGACGAAGTCCGTTATGCGGTGTTGGCCCCATGACAGGTTATGTGGAAAATCCTGGAGGCCTTGAGCGGCAACTTGAGACCCGATTTGCGTCGGATCCATTTCGGATTTACGTCGGTTTCACGTCGGACTTCGTCTGGATTGCGTCGGAGTTGCGTCGGACTGACGCCAGAGCATCGCCGAGCGGGAGTCGACCCATCGCTTACGGAGCCGATGTGTGGAGTAGATAATGCAATTATGCGCCGCGCGAAGCCTCCAGGATTTTCCTCGTAAAGCAGGGGATGGACTGCTGAACAGATTTGCAATCAACTCGCACAGTAAGGATGGGCAACCTTCCCAGACCAGACATGATCGCGCCGTAAAAAATCAGGAAGGGCAATTTTGACCCAATTTCGGCCTCGGGGGGCCCTCACCGGGCCTCGGGACCGTCGAAAAACGACTCAAGATAAAAGCCGGTCCCGTGATAAGGGCCTGGACTTCCCGGGACGCCGTCCTGAAAAAATCAGGACGTCGCATTTCTGGGATGGGCAACCTTCCCAAGGGTACCCTTGCATCCTTGCCTCCTCGGTCCATGCTCTGCCGCTTTCGTTGGCCGCGCCCCGCTCGCAATGTGCCAACATGGCCTTCCCAGGCCATTGCATCATTATCGTGCATCCTTAGAATGCGGGTTGACTGTGCCCCAGCTTGCCTTTGGCAGAATCTACAAGCAAAAGCGTATAATGTGTCGTCGATCAACGGGCACTCAATGTATTTCATACATTCGAAAAGACAAAACAAGTCGATCCCCTACTCGAAGCAGGGAGTGGCCCTGCTCGAGACTGTTTTGTTCTCCTGGGGGGTAACGCGTGTTACGTGGGGGGGAAGGGGGGAGAGGTGACGGCAACGGCGGCCGTAGCGGCGAATTCAAATACCATAGCGAATACGAGTTCTAGCACGAGTAGAACGAGTAGTACGAGAAGTAGTACGAGTAGTAGTAGTAGTAGTCCTAATAGTACTAGTAGTACTAGTAGTGCTAGTGCTACTGGTAATACTCGTAGAGCGAGTCGTACTAGTACTACTAGTGAGATTAATGGGAGTAGCAGCAGTAGTAGTAGTAGTAGTAGTAGTAGTAGTAGTAGTAGTAGTAGTAGTAAAGAGGAAGAGGAATAAGAATAATAAGGAAGTTAAGACTAATAATAATAATAATAATAAGAGTGGTCGCATCAGTCGTAGTAGTAGTCGTAGTAGTAGTAGTAGTAGTAGTAGTAGTAGTAGTAGTAGTAGTAGTAGTAGTAGTAGTAGTAGTAGTAGTAGTAGTAGTAGTAGTAGTAGTAGTAGTAGTAGTAGTAGTAGTAGTAGTAGTAGTAGTAGTAGTAGTAGTAGTAGTAGTAGTAGTAGTAGTAGTAGTAGTAGTAGTAGTAGTAGTAGTAGTAGTAGTAGTAGTAGTAGTAGTAGTAGTAGTAGTACGTAGTAGTAGTAGTAGTAGTAGTAGTAGTAGTAGTAGTAGTAGTAGTAGTAGTAGTAGTAGTAGTAGTAGTACTAGTATGGCAGTGGTAATAGTAATAAAAATCGTCGTCGTAGCAGTGGCAGTAGAGATAGGTAGTAGTAGTAGTAGTAGTAGTAGTAGTAGTAGTAGTAGTAGTAGTAGTACTAGTATGGCAGTGGTAATAGTAATAAAAATCGTCGTCGTAGCAGTGGCAGTAGAGATAGGAATAGTAGTAGTAGTAGTAGTAGTAGTAGTAGTAGTAGTAGTAGTAGTAGTAGTAGTAGTAGTAGTAGTAGTAGTAGTAGTAGTAGTAGTAATCCTGATAGTAGTAGTCGTCGTAGTCGTAGTCGTAGAAGTAAGAGGCACACACATACACACGCACACACACACACACACACACACACGCACACACAGAGACACACACACAGACACACACACACACACCACCACCGCCACCACCACCACCACCGCCATCACACACGTACGCACCTGGCCCACCACCAAACCACCAAGACGCCACACCACCTCACACCACAACACACGCGCACACACGCCCACACACACATACACACCACCGCCACAACAACCACAACCACGCACACACGCACGCACGCACGCGCACCACCACCCACTACGCACACGCGCGCGGAGCCACAGGTCCGCTACGACATGCGTCCGCGGATAGAGAAAATCAGCGCCATGGTAAGGGATGGGAGGGAGGGGTAGGATGTCAGATGTTGACGCGAGCGCACCTAACTTGTCCTCCCCCCCTCCTCCTCCTCCTCCTCCTCCTCCTCCTCCTCCTCCTCATGCTCTCTCCTGTTCGACAGGCCGCCGCCGCAGCGCGCGAAGATCCTAAGGCCGCCGCCCACGCCACGGCGCTCAGCGGCCCTTCGGCTGCATCCTCGTCATCGAGGGTGACCGCGTTCCTGGCCATTGACCCCGCGTTCTCCTGTCCCAGGTGGGGAGGGCGCGCACCTTCTTCTCGCCTCCTCCTCGTCCTCCTCTTCCTCATCTTCCTCCTCTTCCTCCGCTTCCTCCTGTTCCTCCTCGTTCTCTTCCTCGTCCTCGTCCTCGTCCTCGTCCTCCTCCTCCTCCTCGTCCTCCTCCTCCTCCTCCTCCTGCGCCGCGCGCGGGTCTCCCGCGGCCGGAGCGCTGTAGTCGGGAGCCCGCGCAACCCCTCCACCCCAGGTGCGGCCCACCGCTCGGCGGCGAGCCGCCCACGAGAAGGAACGGGTGCGCCGGCCGGGGCCTACGTATAGCTGGTTTACGCCTCCTCCTTCTCCTCCTCCTCCTCCGCCTCCTCCTCCTCCCGCCTCCTCCTCCTCCTCCTCTTCCTCCCGTCCTCCCTTCCTC